CTACAGAGAAACAGATGAATGTGTATATAGGATTATAATGTGTGCACAAAGTGACTTCCCCAGTACGGCAAAATGAAGAATCGTGAGATACATGGTGCTATCGTTTGGGTGTTACCTGTCCCTCAGAGACCCAGGTTTTAAAGGCTTGATACCCAGGTAGCACGACTGGAAGTGGTGGAATCTTTAAGAGGTGGAGTCTAATGGGAGCTATTTAGGTTATTGGGGGCTGTGCTGAAAGGGGATTGTGTGACCTTGTTTCTTTCCTCCTTTCCTTTTAAGTGCTGGTCATGAGGTAAGCTGTTTTGCTCCCATTGCCATTTAGCTGTTTTCCCACCATTCCCATTTAGCACACCCACCAGAGGCCCGAAAGCAGAGGGGCCAACCAGTCCTGGACTAGAACCTTCAACAGTGTGAGTCAGCATGTGTGTGTGTGTGTGTGTGTGTGTGTGTGTGTGTGTGTGTGTGTGTATGTGTGTGTGTGTTTCATTTTAAGTTTATTATCTCAGGTATTTGCTATAGTAACAGAACACTGAAAGAAATGGGTTGGGAAAATGGATTCACCATGGGTGGGGGCTTCAGTGTAATTTCTCCCCTCTCACTACCCACCCAAATAAACATCAGCTAGATGAAAGGTTAAGACATCAGGTCAGAAGGGAAATTAGAATAAAATACAAGCGAATGCTTTTCAGTTTTTTTGATAGATGATGAAAACAGTTTTTAATGCTCAAAATAATGAATGGAAAAGAAAAGTTTGGTCAACTTGATTACATTGAAGGAAACCTCTAAGAATCAAAACTATAATAGCATCTAAAGAAAAACGAGATGGGAAGAGCATTTGCTACAAGTATAAGTAAGCTAGTTTCCTACAGTATTTAAAAGTCTTCACAGGAAAATTAAGATACAATGAAATTCCCCTGGGCCAGCACATGAATGGGTCACCACAACAAGCCAACTTGACGTTCTGCGTGGTAAACAAACCTCCCAGCAGTTACTAAGAGATTCTTTGACCCATTTTATTTTATTATTTTAAATTATTTTTGTAGTTGTAGATGGACAGCATGCCTTTGTTTATTTTTTTATGCAGTGCTAACGATTGAACCCAGTGTTTCGTACATACTAGGCAAGCACTGACAGTGAGCTGCAGACCCAGCGCTAACCCATTTTATGGAGGAACCAGTTGACTGTAAGTCACTGGCCCCCAGCTAGTGAATGGTATGAAGTTCACAGGCATATTTATTGGAAAGCTCTTGTGCTCTCAGGAACTAGGATAGCTAGCCTAAGAGAACCTCCCAGCCTCCAAGAAAAAGAAGACCCCGGGCTAATACGCTCATGAAAAACTGCTCAACCTTAACATTAAAGATCTGCATATTAAAACTGCAGGGTTGAAGCCACTGCTTACCTCTGGAATTGGCAAGAAAAAAATTTCCAGAAAAATAACCAGTCACAGCCCTGGCTTCCTCTGGTGTTATGAAACGGACACTTCACCTCTATTCTGGGCAGAAGGGTAAATTGGGTGAAGAAGATATTATCTAGAGTCTTTTAGAAAAAATTGCATGTGACCGTTGGCCTATTCATTCTACTTCTGAGGATCTTACACAAATAATCAGAAATGTGAGAAAAGTTTTATGCCCAAAGATACTTCTCTCTGATTATTGTTCATGTTATTTGCAAGCTTGGACTACGGGAGAGTGTCTACTACAGTAGTTTCCAATATGAAAAAGGTGATGTTCATGAAGGTATAAAACAACCTATATGTTAATCACAGGTGCGTAGGTAGGGGCAACAAAACACAAAATAGTTTACTCAGTTTGATTTCCACAGTGACTATCTATGCACTAAAAAGGTACAAAGACCACGAAACTGCCTTTATCCTACCATCACAGGGTTTAGGCTAATTTCAGTTTTATATCTATTATGTATTTCTAAAACTTTTACATGGTTTGTTATAAAATTCAGAGAAGAGAAAAAGGTTCATGCCAATCTCAATTTTATACCTTGTCTGATTTTCCAAAAAAATTGAGTTTGTTTTAAAATTCAGATTAGAGGGGAAAAGAATTTTGCTTTGAAGGTAAAGAGCAAATTGGATAGGGCAACATTTGCTATAGAATTTCAGAAATTAGATGGGCTGACCCCAGTGGGATGCCGCTGAATCTGGGGGATTGGGAGGCTTATTAATCGACCCTGAGAGCATATCTCCTTTCTCGGTACCTCCCCACTTTTCTTCTGGATACTATTTTCCCCAAAGTATCCTTCCCTTCTTTCCTAGTCAAAAACTTACTGTATTATTCAGATTTCAGTTACTATGACAAAATACCTGAAATAATCAACTTAAAGAGAGGCAAGATTTGTTCTGGCCCATGGTTTCAGAAGTTTTGGTCCTTGATGGCTTGGCCTGCTGTGGGGATGTCTGGTGCAGGATACCTGCTTATCTCATGGTGGCTAGGAAGCAAAGAGAGGAAGAGGTTCTGGGGTCCTTTTCATTTCAAAGGGCACTCCCCTGATGAAATAACTTTCTCATACTAAGCTGCAGCTTTTTAGGTATCACTACCTCCAAGTAGTGCCATGGACTAGGGACCAAGTCTTCAACACATGAGCCTTTGGGGAATATTCCAGGTATAAATTATTGTACTTACAATCTATATGCTCACCAGTAGGATACTAGCTAAATAAATTACCTTAGACATCCTCTCAGTGAGGTGTGGTAGACCTACGAAGGAATTCTGTCAATGGAGATAACGTTTATTGAAATGGAAATTTTCAAAGATATGCATTAAAACACAATAATTTAGAATATATTATTTTATATATATGGAGTATACATAAAAAGTACATGTCCCTCCCTCCACAATTGCTTTTAAACTAGGATCATTTGTAACTTCTATGTGATTCAAATATAACATACATGTTCTCTGTAAATAATGCAAATGTTCTGCACATGTGCACATGATTTTTTTTTTCTCTCCTCTCCCATTCTTTTTCCTTCCTATTTGTTCCTTTCCTTTGCTGAAAGAACATTTGTGAAACTGATTAGAAAACTCCTTGGGTATGAGAATATATTGAGAGAGATTTGCTTTGACTTTTTTCTTCATATTTTTCTTTAATGCATAGATATTTTCATAATTAGCGAGTATTCTATCTGAGTAACAAAACGATATTTCTTTTGAAGGGGAAAAAATGAAAAAGACATACAGAGGGAGGAGGGGTGGGAAGAGAGGCACCAGTGAAAATATCTGCAGTTTCGTAGGACTTTGTTTTGTTTTCTACAGATTTTCTGGAGGAGGGTGTGAATGTGGCTTCGCTTTTCTTCGAAGTATAGATATGAATGAGCTGGCTCTTGTGGAATCTCTTCCCTGGGCTCTCCCTCTTCTTCCCCCATTGTGAGCGGCCCCGAAGCACAGCATGGACCAGACATTAACTGTTCACTGGCAGATTGTTGTGCTCGTAGATGAGATGTTAGCATTGAGTGCGTTTCGTACATGACAAGAAACACTCTGGGCACAGGAGCCTCTTACTGGGAGGCATTCAGGCAATGAAGTATTCATGTCCTGCTCCTCTGATACCTTGGTGAAACCCGTGTCCCGTTTTTAGTCTTTTGGGGCCTTTGGATGCGAACAATCAAGGAACATGTAGCCAGCTGCTTACATCCTGATGCTGGGGTGGCTTAGACCACTGGGGATGGTGGGTGTAAAGGCAGTCAACCTTCCAGTGCCTCCATGCCTTCCTCTGTGAAGTAGGTGCCCCACCTAGCACAGTACTCACACTGGGCACGTTGGCATTTGCCAACACTCTGCAGTGCACAAGTATGCCAGATATTTCACATGCTTCAGTGGCGATGCTGGGAGGGATAGATAGGGATGAGGTTGCTGATGTCAGCTGGGAGCGAGCCCCGTTTTTGAAGGTTCTATTTAATAATTTTTTTTTCATTTTACAATGGTGAGGAAGCAATATGCATGCAGTAGAAACYCTACTTCAGATGTTGAATTGGGAACTTTTCCTGAGCCAGTGCTATGAAATATGCTGTCTTGTGATGTTGGGCATAGGCAGCGAGCTGTAGCTTCCAGTCAGCCCTGTGATCAGGAGGGAAACAGCCAATACYCTACAGTGGGGTGTGCCACTAAGAGTGATGTTTGGTCGGCAGGTGAATTCAGTGCATTTTCCATGTACAATATTTTCCATTTATGATGTGTATTGGGGTATAAGTCAAGGGGCATATCTACTATATTTTGACTATATGTGCTATGTATTAGTAATAGATTTTAGTGAAGACTTTGTGCTTTGGGCACAATTCAGATTCTTTCTAATTATAGAGGTAATATACATGATTGTAAAAAAAACTTCACAGGTTTCATTAATCTGTAAGAGGAAGTCAGCATCTCCCCACTGTAAGTAGTCATTGCTGTTTTTTCCTAAGTATGTAAATATTAAAAAGCACCCCAACAGTTTATTATGCCTTTCATTAGCAAATTGTGTTTCTATGAAGATGTTTTTCTAGAATTCGTGTGTTTGATATTGCTGTTTTAAATTTGCCTAAATTTTTTTTTCCCTCACTCTGATATCTGAAAAATGCCACTGAACTCCTTATCCATTGTGGAGAGAGCCATTTATAATACACTATCTGGACATTTCTGTTCCAGGTAGCAGAAGGCCAAGGCTCAATTACCAGTAATTGTTATAGAAAGTACATGTGCTCCATGGAATGTTAATTATTGGCATTCATCGCCTAAGCTAAGCAGTTGATAATCATTCTTTTTGAATTGCTATTCAGGGGCGGGAGGGGGGGCTATTTCAGTGGTAACTATTCTTCTCACTCTATCGCCAACAGGTTACACCTTTTCATGATTGACTTTCCTAATATAGCATATTCTAGACTATCATTTAAAATGAAAAGAAACTAAATAAGTCAAWAAGAATTAAGGAACTGAGCAGAATGGAAATGCCATGGAGGATGGTTATTGAAAAGTGTGAAATGCCTCATTTGACCCTGTTGTCCTTTTTTTTAGGAAAAAGCGGAGCAAGCACCTCCCAGTCCACGAGAGCTGGCACAATCTGAACGAGCGAACAATCCAAGTAAGTAATGAGCAAGAACTTAACTATAGCTTTGCAATAGCACTAGGACTTTATAGTCCTCCTTCATGTCCGTGGGGTGGGGCAGGGGTGGAGGGCTCAGTTCCATGATCCTGCAGAGATAGCAGAACCCAAGAATACTCAAATCCCTTGTATAAGATGTCCTAATGTTTGCATAGAAGCTATGCATTACCTTCTGTATACTTTTAATCATTGTTAGATTAGTTAGTTAATACAATGTAACTGCTAAATGAACAGTTGTTATACTGTATTGTTAGGGAATGATGATCAAGAAAAAAGTCTGTTTGTGTTCAGTACATGTGTCGTGATTTTTTCCCCCCCAAATGATTTCAATTCATAACTGGTTGAATTCATGGATGTACTGCAAAAGTTATTTTTGACACAAATGAATAAGACTCTAATCTTACTGGTTTAAGGAAACAAATTCTAATATAGTCATCTATATTTCAATGAACAGACTTCATTGAGCTAAACTTCAAAAATCTGTTTTATGCAAGTTTCTTGGTATTCCACTTAAGGCGGTTTGATGTTACCTTTTGTGAGGGGTCGTGTACAGGGGAACCCCTTTGTTTTAGCATTTTTGTATGTTTTATTAGCCTGGTTTTGCATGTATGTATTCTTGGTATTTCTTGATCCTTTTCGAGTTTCTTCTGTTCCTTCTCTTCTCCGTCATTATGAGGAAGTATGGAATCACATTAAAGGAATACAAAGTTACTTCATAAATTGGAGAAACTGATAGAGGATGGGGAGTCTGCTCCCTACATGAAGCACAAACAATGTAATGGATTATTGTAGCGTTTAAGTACAAGGAATCATAAGGTTTAGAGCTGGTAGGCATTAGAATAATCAGAGTTTTAAAAATTGCTTAATGAGAAAGAAGATGACTTTAGCCAAAAATCAAAGCTGAGATCTAACTAGGAAGTCAAATAAATGTGTTCCCAAGCATTAGAAGATTCATAAAAGCAGTCAGGATTTTCTGTAACAAGCCTAATTTCAGGGTCACATTTCAGAAAACATTCATATGAGATGATGGAAGGGAAAGATATTGGTTTATGAGTACTGGATTTGAAATTTTGAACAATTTTGACTCATTACATTGTATTGTTTAGAATGATCTCTTTCAAGCTGAAACAACCTAGATCTTGGTATCGATGTTCATTTAGAATTCTGTTAATGCTTCCGTCAGAAAATTATAAGAAAAATTACACAGAGAGAATTTCCATAGTTTATCTCTCATCCTTTGTCTTTACATCATACTTTCAGATACTCTCTAGGTATCAGATATACCCAAGCAGTGTCCTGAAGGGGAATTTGCAGAACAGTACAGGGAATAGCCTTCCACTAGAAGAGAGCTAGTTCTCCATTCTGGCTTAGAGTTAAGCAGCACACAGTTGAGGCTGGGTCTCTGATGCATTGCAGTTCCTGAAACACGGCTTAAACGAACAAGGGAGCATTTCTCCATATTGAACTCCACTTGTCAACCTCCCAGAGTTCTTACCTGTAAGTGCACTCATGACATTGGCTTCAGTCCTTGTTCACAGGTAGCATATCAGAAAAGGAAAAGTGAAGGACACAGCTTGGTTTAGAACAGGCTATTCCACAGAGGACTGACTAACAGTGCTTGCACCACCAAAAACAGCCACCAGTGCAGGYCACTCAAGTCCTGGGGATGGAGGTCCCTTCCCTATGCCAGTGTTGGGGAGCAGAACCAGAGCCAAGCCCACTGTATCCAGCCAGGAGCTGGGGTGGGGCTTCCCTGCTCTCAGAAGATACTGGAAAAAGACCGTTGCCAGGRAGGACTAGAGCACATGTGAACTCGTGGCCAAGCAGCCAGGCACAGCCCTGCCGCCAGAGCTAAATGGAGCAGCGTCCTGGTGGGCACAGTGACTCAGGCTGCAACCTCCGCAGTCTTCCACCAGGCAGTGGCTGCAGACTGCCCCGGCCCTACCACTCCATAGGGAGGAGTAGGCAGGGAGAGTGGTGGAAAAGACAAACAAAACAACCCACCCCAAATGAGTCTCCAAACCAACATTCCAAAACACACGAAGCAATCCCATACTAGGAAATACAGCTAACAAAATCAACAGATGACCAATTTAGACCATATGCAATAAAAATAAGTCTCACAAAGGCTTTGAAATAGGCATGTTTATATTACTCAGATGAATGAAAGACTAATGTCTGTAACACTGCAAGAAATCATGAACACAACCTGAAGAAACAAAGCAAGAATAGCTGGGTATGAAAAAGAACTGCTAGAAATTTTGAAAATGAAATATTTCAAACACTGAAATATTTTTATTGACGATTATTGATATTATTATATCATTTCCATTTTTTTTAAAGTGTTGTCTTCTCTCTAAAGGGAGTTCAAGAGTTGGAAGTTAGTCCTAAGAGAGTCAACTTGCATAGATTGCAGAGAGGTAAAGGAAGAGGGGGGTGAGCAGTTAGGTACCAAGGATCCTACAATCTTTTGGGGAGGGAGAAGTAGAGAAGGAAACTCAGAGATAACAGAGATAAGAGATGAGAATTGGCCAGAACTGAAAAAAGATGCAACTCTCAAATTGCACTCAAAGAATTACCAAGGAAAAGGGAAGATTAGTTCATATCTAAAAGCATTTAGGGCTAGTCCAAAAAGTGGAAGAGAAGAAGTCTTGAAGGAAAACACAGATTTACTTACAAAGGAACAACCTTGGGGTTGATGTTGACTTAGACACAATAAATGCCAGAGACAATGTGATTTACTCTCAAAGTGCTGAGGCAAAAAAAATAACTGTCCATCTTGAATTTTATACCAACATATTGCTCCACAGTGAGAGCAAAGGACAGCTTTCTAAGGCAAAGATTGAGAAAATGGGTTTACCAGTAAAGACCAAAAGAGTAATTAAATTTACTTCAGGAAGAAGGAATGTGAAACATGGCATATAAGGAACAGTAATGTGCAGAGACATTGGTACAATGTTGAAAATGTAATCCCATATGAATTGTTAAGATAAGGTTAAGCTGAATCTCCATATAGATGTTGAAAGTATGTATGTGTGTCTTTGTGGGATGCAGATTACTCAGTGGTTAAATCCTAAAAGGGATTCATAAAGGAGGAGTAAAATGTGAAATAACTGGACATCTTTTTAGGGAAAAATATATTTAATCATGTGTTTTAACATATTATGTGCAACTAAAATATTGACTGTTATTACTGGAAGAATACACATATAATTTATAGCTTCTAACCTAACAGAAAAAAAGTACAAGGGGATACATATTTTTAAAAAATCAAACAACATCAAGTAGACAAAGAAGAAAAATTAAGATATGAAAGAAAGAAGATGTTAAACAGAAAATACAATGTAAGATAGTAGGGGTAATCCCAGATATATACACCACAGTATTGCCAGACTTCCATTGGTAGAGACACCTAGGACCCTGTACCCAACAGAGAGACAGTCTTGATTCTTCTTAAAACCTGTCTTAACTTTTTTGAGAAATTGACCATATATGGAAAGTTGCACTAAATTTTAAGCAATCTATTCAACGCAAGYCACGTTCTTTGACCCAGTGTGATTAAATCAGACGTCAACACAAAAAGTTCAAGACAAAACATGTAAACATGTTTGTGGAAACTTTTAAAAAGAGACCCATATTTTACTCATGGGTTAAAGAGAAACTCACAATGGAAATGTCAGTCATTTAGAACCTAATGGAAATGAACAGAGTACAAGTGGAAAGTTGTATAGTGCTACTAAAGTAGGACTAAATTCCTAAGCTTCAAAAGGAAGAAAAATTGAAATTAGAAAAATGCAAATTGAATAAGTCTAAGAAATGCAGAAGGAAGTAATTATAAAAATTAAAATGAGAAATTATTGAAATAAAGTGTCAATAAACAAGAACAAAATGAAATCCAGTCTTTGTTCAAAACAAAACAAAACAAACAAAAAACATCCTAACAGTAAACCTCTAGCACAGATGTGTAGAAGGACAAAGGCATGAAAGAAGATAGACAATTTATTGCAAAAATATAAAAGTAAAATTGATCCTTTATGAAATCATTTTTTTTTTTTTTGGTGGTCTTGGGGATTGAACTAGTGCATGCTAGACATGTGCTCTACTATTGAACTACATCTCCAGCCTTCAGATACAGAAATATAAAATAACTCTGGCAATAATCATTACTGCCCCTTCAAAAATACTGAGGTAGTTCTGTAGATTAATGTTAGCAAACTTTCCAGGAACAAATAATGTCTTTCTTTATACAAATGTTTTCAGAGCTAGACAGAGGACCAAGAACTTTCCCCTATTTATGATACGTTTAGGTAGCTTTGAAACAATACTAGAAATCAAAATCCCATTTCACATGTTTACAAAATGAAACAAAAGTCTAAGTAAAACATAAATGAATCAGATTCAGCAATTTCTCTTAAATGAAATGTAAAACAATTAATATGACCGAGTTGAGGTTATTATAGTAATGCAAGGATGGTTTACCATTGTAGGCAGTAACACATTTAATATAAAGATTAAAGAAAAATCAAGTGGTCATCTCACTAGACATGAAAAGAGAATTTTCTGCTCATTGTAACACAGAACAAACAACAAATATCTTAAGAGACCAGGACTGAAAAGGAAACTTTTAACATTTTAAAATTGATTTGTCGAGGCTGGGGTTGTGGCTCAGTGGTAGCTAGTGCCTAGCACATGTGAGGCTCTGGGTTCAATCCTCAGCACCACATAAAGATAAATAAATAAAATTAAGGTATTATATCCATCTACAACTACAAAAAAATATTTTTTTTTWAAAAAATGATTTGTCAAGAACCTACAGCTTGCATCATCCATAATGGAGAAATATTAGTCATGCCCAGGAAGATCCAGAATCAGACATAGATGTATACTGGAGGTCTTAGCAGTTGCAATAAAAGAATAAATGAAGACACAAAAATGTAAACTTTGAAATGGAAGAAATAAAAAATCTGTATTTATTTGCA